GATGCAATCTGAAGATGTCTGAGTAGGGCACGTGGGGCTCACAGGTCTTATGCTTTTTGCAGGCAGCTCCAGCCTTGCAAAAAGCAGAGATAAGTGACTTAGAAATGAAGGGGGCAGCTGGCTAAATGCTCGACCAAACAAAATGATCAAAGGGACAGTACCAGATGTTTCCCATCAGCTCTGCATATGGAGGTACCAGGGAGAGCAGCAGGAGCACCAAACTAAAAAGTAACCAGAGAAGCCAACTTTAGTTTCATCCATAACATGAGGAACAGGCTATAAATACTACATTCCTCAGTGAGGCTCCCAGAGGACATTCTGTAGGTATTTCAAAAAACCTACAGGAAAAGTGTGTCTACTATTGTCTGACTTATTTATACGCATCCTCCCACTAAATGTTTCATTAAGAATTATCATTCCTGACATCTAAAAAAGTATAGTATTAAAACCATATTTTAGGAAGCTGCTGAAAATTACAAAAAGTCTTCATTTTTCCACAAAACATAACTTCTTGCGTAGTCTGTGCCAGTACAATATTTTCCTAGACTACTGTTACGCAGTTTTCTTTTACCACTTTTAGTACATTTTAAATTTTAATTTTGTAGGTTTTGAGTCCAAGTCGCTGTAAGAAGCCCAAGCCATTTCAATATTTACTGTAGAAAAGGGGCCAGCTTTTTATTTTTGTCTTCTGGGGAAGTTTATGGTAGAGTGAGATAAACATCCAAAATAGTTAAGGTTGTTTATCCTGCATCACTTAGAAGACATTCTTGACATCACTTGTATACAACTGAGCAGGGGAGCTGCTCAATCAGTCTGACATAAATTAAACCCAGATCTCCCAGCCTCAGGGCATACAGACCTTACTACAGTGTGATAAATTCTACTGCTGTCGGGATGAAACCTGAACTGCTCTTTCAATTCCTCTTGTTGCAAGCCAAATTTTTGTGCAGAAGGGCTTCTCTTCTAGTTTTATTCCTTTCAGAAATACAGTCATTATTTCAGGGCACTTTAGCTCATACTGACATCTCTGTAGCATCTTGGGGCTACCAAGAAGGAATGAACACTGCAGAAGGATCTGGTGCCATGCTTGTCTGGCATATTGACCCAAAGTCTGGAAGTACTAGAATTGCAGAGCAGGGACCCTTGAAGCTGTCAGCAAGTAGTTCAAAGTAATACAGAAACTTCAGAAATTTTTCCTGTTCTTATTTGAGTCTCCAGTTTAGTGATGCCTGCTAGAAAGCCACTCCACGCAGCAGGAGGAAGACATGCTGAACATGAAGGGTTTTGGACAGGCACTTCCCAGAAACAAATGGGAAGTCTGGCTTGTGCCAGACTTTTCCTTGACTAGGAGAAAAGCTAAGCAGAGCTCCTGGCTGCATTGCTCAGTGGTGCTGAAATCCACTCTGTCTTTTATCTGTGTAACATGTGCAAAGATTTGTTTGTGCATATATACTCTCTTTGAATGATTTTTTTTTTTATTATAAAGATTTTTACTACATGCATGAACAGCTTGGTGTACCCTTTAAATCTGATCTAAACCTATTCTGCAGGAACAAAACCTGTTAACAGTGTGTCTTTTCTTTCCTCTGATTCTGACCTCATGCATATCCAAGCTTAAGCCACTCATTGCAATAGAAATATTTGTGATTATCAGTGCCGGATGAGTTCTTTGCTGATAGATATACTAGTGACAAATGGGCTGAGGAACTCACTAACTCTCATATTTGAGTCAAGAAAAGCTTGAGCATGATTCACTCAGGAATGCTTTGTACTACCCTAATTGCATAATTACTTTAGAGGGCTCACTGGCCATTTGGCATAGAGGTCATTCCTGTTTCCTCTGAGCACAGGAATAACTCCTCCTAGCTTCTCACTTCTAGCAAGCAGGACAAAAAGAGATGTGACAAAGACATATGGCTATGGCACCACTTCTCTGTATAATTCAGGTGCAATATTTGTACACAACTACTAAGTCCTTCAATCTTTGAAGTGAGGTTGGAAAAATGACCAGTGATAAACATAAAGAAACACTTGCACCTTTGCACTGGGACAGTGTCTGTATTGAAAGGAGTAGTGGGTGGAAAATAAAGGTCTATAGAAGTGAATGATATAAATAGCTGCAGAGAAGATATGTAAATATAGCTATCTTTGGTCCCCCAACACTCTTTCATTTTGGAGAATGCATGGAATTAGTGGTGTCTCTTCTTAACCCTTTTATTAATGTTACAAAACAGTAAATTTGAAAGCTAAAGTTCTCCCGTTGCAGATCAGTAATGATATCACCATGTTGTCAAGTTTTCATTCTTCTCTCATATTTGTTACACCTATGAAGCTATTATCCATCTTTCTTTGCATACTGGTGTATCTTCCACTCAAAGTAACTCAAGTACATCCATCCTCATTACAGTTCACCATCAATATCACCTAATATATAACTAGGCAGATACACTCCCCTTTCGCTGGGTTTTTGAATGAAAATACTTGTAGTTGCTGTATTTTGTACTGTTACTAATGATGTACAAGTATGTTTTGACATGCACACAGGATGTCTCCCTGATTGGCCCTCCAAGAATTGCTGACGAATGTGAAGCCAAGTGGTCTGAAGTGTTGTTACTTTATTAGTGTAAATTCTGGTGTCCACGGGCTTCCCAGTTGCATATTTGAGTTGGCACGAATATTTAAGTCACTGATTTATTTTGAGGTTCATGATAGGTACCTAAATATTTCCTTATTTTTTTTTTTTTAAATCTTCTATAAATAGTAGGAAGCAGAACAGTTTAATGCCGACGGAGGCTGCATTAGCTTCCCCTTCTGTGAGAAACCTCTGCTTAGAGAGTTCCCAAACTGAAAGTGTTTTTAAGAGAAAACATAACTGGAAGAGTCTCACATCAAAGCCTGGGCCTGCTAAGTGAAGTTGTTCTTCTGATATGAGTGGAACATTACTCCAAAGCTAGAGATATGTAGTGGGGAGATGAAAAACCATGATTCTTAAACTGGGAAAGAACCGATGGGTGATTTATCAAATAAAAGGCTAAAATTCAAGGCTGATTTTGTTCTTACAGATCCATATCTGAAGTATAGACTTCATTAGAGCTACATCCAACTAAAACCAACAGGCTTTGGGTCCTAACTGTTTTTGTTATCAAACAAAAAATGGACAGCACCTCTGTTTGCTGCATGCTTTTTCAAATGATTCTGCTGCAGTTGAGGAACTGCATGCTATAGTTTGAGTGGCTGCCCTGGGGATCAAGGAACAGAAAAGCTTCTTGCATTAGGATGGCAGCAGGGGAAACTATACAGAAAATGCAGTCCAGGAAAGACTTCTTTGAAGATGAAGAAGGGATTAAATGAGAGCCTATTTTACCATTTGCTAAAATACCCGGTGCATTTGCCTTCGTGGACTCTGCATTCCAGAGGACTGCATGCTGGGTTAATAAAATCCCCCTCCTGAACAGCCTTTGGAAACTCAGATGGTCACCGACTGCCCATATGGCAGAATTTGGCTATTGCTGTTAGACAGCTGCAGGAAGCCGAGGACAAGAAAGTGGGGACAGCACCAAAATCTTATGAACGTGCACATATATAGAGAGAGACACACGGCTTTGCCTTAGAGCAGGAGGTTCCAAAATATGTTTCTCATCAGAATGCCAGGATCCTCTTTCCTTTTCTTCTTTCAGGAAGAATAATTTTCACTTCTGCTTTTCTTAGGTGATACGTATGTGATTTAAATTCTCAAACACTCTGGGCTTAAGTTTCAAGGGTGTTCTGAAACAATGAGCACACCCACCAGAAACACTGCAAAACACCACATTTCCATTGCTTGCAGACTTAAAGGGAGGCTCAGTTTAGCATTCTTCCTTGGGGAAGAAATGACATGTTCCCCACTAACTCAATGCCAAACCACTGCTCTCTGATTTGAGTAACAAATGCCATTCTGTCTGCTTCTAAAAGCCCAGACTCTGTTTCTTTTCTTAACATGAAATTGTGTGTTTTGGTAATGCTCTCAAACAACAGTTTAACAGAACAAAGGACTTATCTTTATGAGACAGCCAGGGAAATACACAAAGAACAGGAAGATGCAGCTAACCTAAATAATGACAATGAAAATAAAATAGCCATCAGGCTATAAATAAGCAGCATGAAGTAAATATCATTATTTTTATTAACAGGAGACACAAACTTAAGTCCGGGAAACAGTTATGTCTATTTTTTTCTCATATTTCAGTTCTGGTTTCTTTCAGTCTCATCACTGAATAAAGTTTTCTACTTTCTTCAGCTTTTTACAGTATGAACTTCCACACCACTTCTACTGGAGCAAACTGCACAGAACAACCACTTATGTTTAGGAGAAAGGTCAGACTTGGGGCAATAACGTTGCCCAAACTGTTACTTTAACTGCACAAATGCCTGCACTCATACAGAGCAGGGAAGCATACATACTCCATAAAGTTAATTAAGACAATACTTAGTTTCCTGCAACACAACACAAAGGAATTTTCTTATTTAGACTAGGTCTCTAACGATGCAGTCTCCCATTGTGTGTATGGGGGTGTGCAAAGCAGCAACTGCAGCCCCACATAAAGGCATGAGTTGGAGCTGGTGAGTGAATAAGGAAGAAATCAAATAATCACCTACGCCAAACCAGGATCAATTTTCTGGAACCCAGCTTCAGTCACTGCAGCCTCCTGGCTTTCCTAAGGGACCTGAGTAGATGCCTGGCCCACGTGCCAGTCTTGTTGGGATTCCCAGGCGGGAAACTGGCTCAACCTGTCACTTCCACCGTTTAAAGCAAGCACTTGAATTTTCCACTTCCAGCCATGACCAGCAGTGCTGGGCTGAATCACTTCCCCGTCTGGAGGCAAGCAACGTGTTAAGAGCAAAGTGCCAACCAAGTGGCCAAGCAGTGCTCTTGGGCTGCCTCAGTGCACAATCAGCAGACCCCGCAGCCCACCTGGGCACCACGTCAGGCCACTGCACCGCTCCCGACCCTCGGCCTTTACCTGCTGCCAGGCGAGCGGCTAGAGGGGATGTCCTGCACGAAGCTCTGCTCCATACCCGGGATCCTGGCGGGGCTGTGCGGATGGTAGGCTGTCAGGACCACGCTGCCCGAGTCCTTCATCTCCATGGTCATAGGTACATGTCGGTGACAAAGGCGGCCAGTGAGGGCTCCTGTGAGGAAAGCAGCGCGTGCCCTGACCCCCTGCTGCCTCTCACCGCTGTTTGCTGTCAGGAGAGCGGAGTAGCCTGGCCCAGCAAGTCTCCCTGTCAGGAAAGCTGAATTAGCATATATTCAAAAACACCGCCCACAAAACAACCCACAGGGAAGTTACTGCGTCCCTAGGAAACCAGAAACCTGAGATAATCCTAACACGGCTCTGCGCGACCGGAGTGTGGGGGGGGGAACTTCTTGCTTTGTTCCTTTTTGTTTTAGAACCCGTTTCTTAATATGCCTCGTGCTCCCAAAATAGGCATGGAGAAAGGAAGTTATTTGAGTGGCGAGTGTTACTCAAACATAAAACGTGGTTTGCCAGCACAGGGACTGACATTAGAGCCACATACATGAGAGGCTTGTGAGCGCGCTATTTAAATAATCACAAAAGAGTAACCTTGATTTCCTATATGGCAGATCATTCCTGCAGCAGGGGACTGCATTTGCGTTCTGAACAACAGAGCTCTCATTTTTGCCTGAATACCACTGTGTGCGTAATTAGAAGGGCATCGGGAAATGAGAGAATCTGTTTTACAATAGCCTGTGTTCATCTGGAGCAAGTCCATAAATAAATACACTCTAAGACTCTCGGTGGTTTTTTTTTCAGGCTTACTTGTGATCTTTGAAATGATAATTAAATGTTTTTGTATGAAAGGAAACAAACAAACAAAAATATCAGGGGGCAGGAATTAACACCCAGAAAGAACAGTTTAGATAAAATGAGGAAACTTACACAGCCCTTTATTTTCCCATCTTGCTTCTTTAGTGTTTTTTTTTAAATTATATTTTTAATAAAAGTCTGTTCCTGAAAAGTATTGTCCTGCTTACAAAGCCATAGGAAGGGTGCTCCTAATTTTACTCTAGAACTCCACATATACTGCTTTACAGCCAAAGCTCTTAGGGCAGCTTGTGAGGATGTGGGTGAGACAACAGCCCCACAGCTGCTAATGGTATCCCCAGCACAGTGCAAAACTCCAGTTGGGGTCTTCTTTCACACCCCCATTTGTGAAGGGGTGCGCTGCTGAAAAGCTACCCAGATTTCACTAGCAGTCTCTCCAGATGGTAAGGTAAAGTAGACAGTTTTTGAAAGGCACAAAAATGATTCATCTCACCTCCACCTTCCCCATGAGCTTCTTATCCTATTTGGAGGAGCATGACCATTTCGGTAAAATACACTGCCACAACTCATGTAGGCAGTGCCCAAGTTAATTTTCAATTAGCCAGCATAGGACACTGATAGCAGTATGCTTGGCAGCATTTCTTGCCAGACTCACCCAGGAAGCATAAATATTTGAACATTCAGAGCCTCTAGGCTTGCTCTTGCTGCACTGTTAATGTGTCCTGGATTAAATATTATGAAGTCAGATTGCACAGCATAAAATCAAGGCTGCTTCTGTGGCAGCACAGAGGCCCTCTCAGAGCCTTTGGGTAGCCATACAAATATGTTGAAGGAGAAGGATCTGAGCTAACTTTTGAAGCGTTGCCTACTACCAATGGCATCATGACCATATCCTGAAGTGTCACCACTGAGGACTGCAGTGAAACCAGAGAAGAGCTCACGGTGCTCACTAATAGGAGGGAGAAAATGACAAAATTAGGGTGTCTTCATGTGTTTGAACTCTGTGGAGCACTGACCAAATGTGAAGATTCTGTCCTGCTGCTAAATGACTAGTGAGGCTGCTGCCAATGTCATTTTTCCCCTCTCTACAGCGAATATGTTTCCTTCCTGGATAAGGAGGTAAGAATCCCACTTCTTGGATAGAAGGGGAGTAAATGTTGTCTGAATCGTAGAATCATGCAATCATTAAGGTTAGAAAAGACAACTAAGATCACTCATTCCAACCTTCAGCTCACTACCACCATGCCCACTAATTGTGTCCGTCAGTGCCACATGCACATGACTCTTGAACACCTCCAGGGACTGTGAGTACACAACCTCCCTGTGCAGCCCATCCCAATGCCTCACCGCTCTTTCAGAGAAGAAAATTTTCTTAACATCCAGCTTAAAAAAAATACGGAACACAACAAATTTGTGTGTCATTTACGCAACCTGTCTGCATACAACCTCAAGAGTCACTCTCTACAATTCACAGCAAGAAACTAAACATCTAAAGAAAAACATTCACCAAACACCATCAGGAATGAGGTAAGCAACTTTTAGAAGATTAGGACAAAGTACTGGCTACAACTCCAGGGAACTGTCTTTTTTTCTCCTTTTCCTATCATCATAACAATAGGCTTTCTTCAGTACCATCAGACAACAAAATGATGTCTGGACAGTTTAAGCTATGGATAGATAAAACCCATACTAAAAATATCAGGTATTTTTAGCACTGTTTTAACTACTTCTCTTCCCAAAATACAAAAGAAATAAATCAATATGTCTTAGAGAGTATAGTTACCCTCTCAATAATACAGTACATATAAAAAAAGGCCCACATTTGTTAAATGAGATTTTCTCTCTAAGAAAAATAGACATGGAAGATTTTAGTTTGATATTTATAAAGTGATGATGCACAAACTAGATGTTTGTATGTGAAAGGCAGGCTATCTGGCATAACTACAAATAGGTATTTTTAAAATTCATCAGCCAAAATACATATGTCAAACTGAGAACTAAAAATATTTATATGCATAATGGCTCTTGGGGTTAGATGTTTGCATATTACTGAAAACTGAAAATGATACTAAGTTAAGCGGAGATAGATATCAGCCACTGAACAAAACTTTAACCAGATTAGTAATACAGCCATAAGAAATGTGCTTAAGGCTAGGTGGGCAAGATTCCTCCTTCAGTATTGTCTGTGTAGATTTGGTAGTTAAAGGAGAGTTTATACTCTTGTCTTCTAGAGAAGCAATTAGGAAAATATTTTAGTCCAAAATGCTTGTGTTTCTACAGGATATCATTCCATAATTGATCTTGATGTACTTAGGACTATAGTACATCTGCTTGATTTTTTTGGTAACAAGTAGCTCCATAGAGCTTCCAAGTGCTCTGGAAAAGCCAGTTTGCTGATAAATTATGCTTGTAGGATTTTTTTTAAAATTTTTTATTTTTAAATCTGTAAAGTGAAGTTAGAAGAAGAGAAGCCATAGGGAGTCTGCAGTCAGGGAACTTGTGAATTGTCTACTTAGGTTTGGTAGGGCCACGCTGGTCTACACAATATAGTCAAGAACATTGTGCTTTCATTTTTTACACTGTGCTCATGCCAAGAAGCGTGCATTGAACTTTCCCAGATTTGGCACAAGAGTTGTTTACATATAGGTCAGTAGGCCCAGACTTTGAGAACTAGGAAGGAAAGTCTTTATTAACTTATTGTTTCAGAAGCATAATCAGTGGCTATATTGATTAAGTGGCTATACTGATCACACAAATGTATTAGTGACTGCCATATTCAAGAAGTATAAATCTACAATCACTAGTAATGCTTGCTGATATGAAAAAAATGAATTTATTATTGTTAATAATATTAATATGTAGTTGCATAATATTAATTGGTAATAATTGTGTCATTAACATGACAGGAAACTTGACATGGCAAATCCAATGGCTATTGCATAGAAAGGAACCAATACAACTTCACATAAATTTAAAACAACCTTTTTTGGCCATGTCCAATGGAGGATCTTTGTGTCACTGGAAGGAATGGGTTTTATCAACTAGGAGTTCTTGTCCCAAGATGGTGAGGGCATACACCATTATAGCATAAGAGCAGAACCACACCGTGGTGGAAAGTGCAAAATTCCCCTTGGAACTACTAATCATAGAAAACTTTCCTGATATTGAATTTCACTGCTAGCTTCCAGCTTAAATTAGCCAGGACAAAGTTGGACAGAATCTGTAAAACTTTGAAGTTAATTTTGGACCCGTTTAATGTGAACTTGGGTTAGATTAAGTTTTAAAAGGAAGCTGTGTTAAGCACAGCATTTTTCCCTGATTAAATCAGAGGAAATAAGATGGAGCAGTACACAGAAAAATGTAATCCTAGCACTGTATCTAGATTTCCTCATCCCTCTTGTTTAAGCAGTAGCATGCAATAAATTTTGTAACCGTGTGAAAGAAAGCAAAAACAGAACCACTCTATTTCTCTACACTTTTTTTTGGGAAAAAAAAAATCGTTTCTTACTTGTCTTCAGTTTCTTTTTTGAATGAAAAGATGTGCGGGCAGTGGTGAGTAGAGGGGCTCATCGCAACAAAGAGTTGGTGCATGTAAAAACCAGCTGGACTGTCTGAAAACAAGAAGTGTCACAAAGTCACAAGAAAATCGAGGACATTGGCTTGAGTCTTCTCTACTCAGTACCAAACCCTGTCTTGAAAAATCTCTTAGAGGAGGCTGGTAATGTGTCAGGAAGATTTTCATTAGGACTTGAAGTCTGTTTGCTTAAAATGAATGTTTTTCATGCATCATGAAAAACAGTCCTCAGTAGCCTATTGCTTGATTAGTCTCCATGCTTTCTATTCCCATGGTGCTGGAAGAATTACAGTCTTTTATCCTTTATTAAGGTGAGGTGTTTGTATGACGTGTCTATGTGGGCAACTGGAATGAGATGTGAGATTCATCAGAAGCATTGTAACACAAACACTGCTTTTTGAATATTTAAAAATTCAAAAGCCAAAAAGTTAACAAAATTATAGGAAAATCTTGTTCTTCTTTCTTTGACTTTTCAAAATGGGATGAGAAATAACATTGAAACACTTATGGATTTGTTAAGTAGCAAGGCTATTTATGCGAAGAGATGAGAAACCAAGTATTGTGTCAATTGTAGGTGTTTCAAAGGTTTTTAAGTACAGCATGAAAGTAAACATCCACATTTGTTAAATGACTTCACGTATTTCAGTCCCAGGCCTGACTTAACTATACCTCATACTTTGCTGAAGTTTAAAATGGTCATTTTTTTTTTAATTTAGTGATTTATTGTGGATTCTTTCACCCTAAAAAAAGACACAAAAGCATAGAAAAAAATTGTCAGACAGCTTTGTGTATCTGCTCTCTTCATAATGATCCTTGCTTCTGTTTAGTGAGTTCAAAAAATGTTCCTCCTTAGTATAGATTAGACTGCCCATACATTGTTCCCCTATTAGTTACATACAGAAAAGGAAACTTCCTTATTCTGT